AACCTTGCCACGCAAAACCAACACAGACAGGAGGTCAAATCCATAGTTTGTCTTAGATTCACTTATTGAACATTTTCTCCCTTGTTCAGGCTAAATCCAAAGGGATTTAGCCCATTCCAGGGGTGGGAAAGTGGAAGCATCATGTGGAGGTGGTGCCTGGCACTTCTGAGACAGGTGGGATACAGCCTCTGCCCCAGGCACTGAACAGTGCCCTGCAGGGGACCGTGCCTGGATGAGGAGCCAGCTCTTATTTCCATCCAGGCTTATTGTGTCCCTCTTTCCACAGAGGCTGCTCTGAGGGAAACTAGGTTGCGTAAAGAAGCAAGTTCAGGAAGGGCTTGATGGAGATCTGACAGCCAAAAATTATACCCATCTCAACAAATATGGCCTGTTTGTTTTGGTGGGTACCACCCCAGCACAGGCTACCATGATACTGAAAGCAAGAAAGACCCTGATTTCTCTCTTCGAGAAGCCCTTGCTGGGATAAACCAGTAACCAGGGAACGATCCAAACTCCCAAAGGTTTAATGATTAAAAACTCACTTGGATGGCACTAAGTCCAACAGCCTTCCCTCTCCCTTCCCCAGCTTTCTGTTTTTACTGTTACACTGAAACAGTGACCATTCTTTTAGACAGTTGTAATCATAATCATGGACAACATGAATCTTAATCCAAAATGATTTCTACTCTCCACCAGGATTTGCTCAAGGTTTGTTTTGTAGGCAGTGGTCTGGCTTCATTTCTACCTAAAATGTACTTTGTACATTATTTCCAGCTTGGGCATAAGCTGTGAGAGAAGCAATAATCTGCAAATTTAACAGGGCTAACAATTCCTTTTCATTCTTATGCTTGTCACTTATAGCATTTTTACCTTTGGCCACTGAAAACCAACAACAAAATCACCTGCCAGAACAGCAGCTCGGTGTAGTATATGTAAAGATATAAACCGGCCAGCTGTGTGCTTAGCTCTCTGCTTTCTCCCCACTTCCCTTCCTAGCCAAAGGAAAAGCAAGAGTGGTACCTTCAGGTCACATCCATTACATCGTCCCATTATAATTATGAGGACCTGATCATCACTTGACTGGTGAGACATTGCCAGGCACCAGCAGCATAAAGACGTCGTGATATTGCACCGTAAATTCCCATCATGTTTCACTTCTCCAAGCCGGGCTGCAGGTCGTGAAGATTACTGGGTGCAACAGTGCAGCAGTTTGTACTTACTACCTGGTAATAACACACTATGGACCACGGTCTGAGCTTATTTACATGGGTGTCAGCCTGAAGTAGCCTCCCGGTGCCACTAGATTTACATAAGATTTACACCCCTGCAGCCAAGAGCAAAATTTGGCCCTAAATTATGATGTAGCTAAAGACCCCGTGTTTCTGAGTTGCGGAGAATTGTTTACACCCACATGAAATGGGTCGTAAAATGCCATTGCGCTGATTTGTTAAAGTGTTAGACCCAATTTGCTCAGGTGTAAATAACTACCCGGTGGGTGGCATAATGTTTGCATCCTGTAACTTAAGGCGTTGCTGTCTGCTGCAAATCAGTCAGTTTTCAGGCTCCAGTTTCCTCCTGGGAGCAGAACGGATGCTCCTGGCCTGGAGAAAGTGATGCAATAGCAGATTGCTAATGAGTGGGAGTTCATGGGGAGTGACATACACAGGATAAAATGGGAATATCTTGTGTATACTTTCATTATTACCCAACTGGTTATTTTTTGCAGCTGAAGTCTCGTGTCCTGATGACTCCCTTAGCAATCTCTCCGCCGAGAAGCACACCGGAGCCGGATATTAGTTCAATTCCCCAGGATGCAGCTACGATACCCAACTCAGCCACCCCACAGGCTCTCACAGGTACCCAGCCTCCACTGCTCCTGGGCCAAGGGGTGAGCAGAACCACGGGCTGACAGCCAGATGCTGTGCTTTCCAGAACAGGCGGAGCTCATGAAAATAGGGTGTTTGCAGATTAGACTGGCAACCAGTGACAAAGAACAGAGATGTCCTGCAAGACGATATTTTGACTGCCATGTGTCAAGTTTAGTGGAGATGTCAGATCCATTCCTCTTGAAATGCAGATATCAACATCCCATGAATGCTACCATTTTATACCCAACATTCACCCCCTCAAATGTGTTGCAATCACCAGGCTAAACCCTAGTGTGAACATGAAGCATCTGTTACAGCTGTGGGAAGAAGAAGGACAGAGGAGCCATGGTCTGACTGTAGCCTGGCTACCAGCACATAAGCCCCAGAGCCTTATCACAGCAGCAGACTTGGTCATTTCTGACTGTAGTCAGGGAAAACACAGCCTTATTCTTTTTTTTTTTTTGCTTTGTTACCAGAAGTAACATAGGTCAATGCTTTTAAACTGATGTAAATGAGAAGAAAATCAACAAGACAGTTGATTTACCCTGAGATTTCAGCAGAGAAATGGATTAGATAACATTAGAATCTAAACACAACACATAAATCCCATTATTTCTTAGCTGGGATGCACAGAGGAGAAGTTTCCCATCTGCTCTGGTAGCAGAATGGTACTAAACGTAGCAACGATAATGATAATAATATATTTTATTCTCATTTATCCCTTCACATGTGAAGACTGCAAAGCGCTTGGCAAATACCAACCGAGCGAGGTTTCATAGCACTGCCCTGAGAGGTGTGCCTGGTGCCGCTTGGAGGGGGACAGAGAAGCATAGTCCACCAGCCCCACCAGATCCCTGGGGTGGCTGCAGAGGAGGAGGCCCTGTGGATCATTTTGGGCTCTGCAAATGCGGTGCCCTGCACCTCCGTCTGCCCATCCCCACGCCACCGGCACCTTTTCTCCCAGCACCTTCCCAACGGTGCTTGTAGGGTCCCACCAGAGCAGGGTTTGCAGAAGGTAGAGGCAGGCTTAAGCCAACTTTTGCCTCCCTGTCTGCACTGAAAGGAGCATAGAGGCCTCCGCTTCCTCACGAGGGACCCAGCACACTCACTGCCTGCAAGCTGCAGAGTCCCTCCCGCAGCTGAGCCCCAGACCTTTTCTCCCAGCACCTTCCCAACGGTGCTTGTAGGGTCCCACCAGAGCAGGGTTTGCAGAAGGTAGAGGCAGGCTTAAGCCAACTTTTGCCTCCCTGTCTGCACTGAAAGGAGCATAGAGGCCTCCGCTTCCTCACGAGGGACCCAGCACACTCACTGCCTGCAAGCTGCAGAGTCCCTCCCGCAGCTGAGCCCCAGAAAAAAACGTGCAGAAGCCACATCCTGCAGATTCAGTGAGGTTTGGCACGTTGGCACGCTGGGAAAGCTGCACCCTGACAGCGCCCTGTAATTCATGCATGCTGCCGTTGTCTTTCGGCGCGTTATCCCTTTGTTTGTTTGGCACTTGGAAGGTGTAAAGTGCTATGTAATAATAAGTATGATTGCTATTATCCTCCTGTTTACCCAGGATATACTGCTTGAGCCCCTTCTCCTGTTCAGTGAGAGATGGGGTAGCAGAGTGCGCTGTGACAGTCACACTAGATTTTCATTACGGTGATGCAAACTGTAAATTATTTCCAGCTTTACACAGCTGTCATCATGTCCTCCACTCCGCTTGATGTTTTTTTTGTCACATATCTGATTTCTGTCAGAGGATAATGTTATATTGTCTGAGAGATGACAGCTCGAGCACACTCAGCCAGCTATTATAATATGTCTCACTTTAGCCTGACTTTAGGCTGTGTGTTAGTCGCCCTTAGTTACCACAGCGTTATCTCCGCTTCCTCCAAGACACCGTTAGTCTCAGCCAAGCTTAAAATAAGTTCATGCTAGCAAGAGAACACTGATTTTTTGGCTATTGCCATCAGGCCTGATGGCATGTAGAAAAACTACCTTTGCAGGCAACGGCATATGAGAGGAGGCATGCAGGACTTGGCTGTGGAGAGGCTGGGGCATCCCTCACAGACCCCCTGGGCGGCACGGTTGCGCGGCTGTGGTCCCAAATGGGGATTAGCACCGCATGTGATGGAGTTTCCCTCGAGGCAATGCAGTTTGCAGGGTGCTGGGTTGGACACGGAAGGTCGGGAGGCTCCCAAAGACCAGAGTCTCTGCCATCGCACTGTGCAGCTCAGTGCAGCATAACCCTCCAGACATTACAGCTGTATTAAGGTCAGAAGCAGCAAGGAACCAAAACTCATCTCAGAGCAGTGCTTCTCAGAGGGCCTCTCAATGAACCAGTCTAAAAACACATAGAGGAAAAAAAAACAAACCCAAAACACACCTCAGGCTGGAGTTTTCCCATTGCTCTAAGGTCACCCCTGCTAGTCACTGTCCTGTACTCCCTGGGCATTTTTTCTGGTTGCCAGCTGCACGGACAAGGTAGCCTGCAAGACAGCAGACCGCAGGCACACACAGGAGCTTCTGTACTTACATGTAGCTTATCCTCACCTGTGACACTGAGCAAGGCCTAAACTCAGCTCACTTCGCGTAGGGAATGGGTGATCAGTGCAAGAAAGCCTGGCTGTACCATTGCAAATGGCAGCAATTCACCACCGAATGGAAGAGCTTGTGAAATAAAGGGAAAAGTATAAAGCTAGCATTTGCTAGGATGCTCTCTGGGCCATTTTGTAATAACTTGTTGGGATTTTGTGTCTACAGTCTGCATTTATGTCAACAAACAAGCGAACCTGGGGCCATACCTTGACAGAAAAAAAGTGCAGCAGCTCCCAGAGCACTTTGGACCTGAGAGACCATCTGCAGCCCTGCAGCAGGCTGTTCAGGCCTGCATCGACTGCGCACTACAGCAAAAGGCGGTCTTCTCGCTCATCAAGCAAGGCTATGGAGGAGAGATGGTGTCAGGTAAAGCATTTTCATAAGGAGTTTGTGGCCAATTGGGAAGTGCTTGAACTCTTAACCTGATCCCCAGTCCTGACTGTCCTAGCTGTCCCAATCACATCGGCTTTGAACATCACTTACGCCTTTGTAAATGAGCTGCTGCAGGAATTGCCTTGGTGTCAGATGAAAGTATATCATAAAGAGTATTGCAGTGGTGATTCAGGGGAGGGATAGGGCTAGCTCTTTGAAACAGTGCTGAAGCCAGGCCTGTGAGCTGTGTTTCACATAGCCATACAAAGATGAGCAGCAATGCAAGCCTGCTTCGTGCCACGTGTTGCCGCCATGTGTTGCTCTAAAGGAAAACTCGTGCAGAGTTCAGCTGCTGGTGTGTGCCCCGCCTGCAGTTCATGAGCCAAACCTGCTCTCAGCTGTAGGAATTGCAGAAGTCCCACGGCAATTCCCTGTACAGCAAGACCATACAAATATATCAGAGAGAATCAGAGATCAGAGGAAACTTCCCAGGAACTCCTCGTCTTCCCGCAGTGACACTTCTCGCTGTGTCCTGATGAGACTCCCATGTCCCATGCTCAATCCCCTGGCCTGGCTTTCAGACTGAACATGAACTTTTCTTTTAATCACGGCAAGAATTTTGTGTCACGACATTGTTTTAGCACATGGGGATGCAGTGGGAATGAAACAAGGATGAGAATATGGGAATGAAGCTCTCCAATGAGCTGCTGCTGATGAGTCAGGCACGAACATGAAGCCAAGGACCACAAGTCCAATCAGTTTTGCAGGGACCACAGCAGGTCCGCTGTGCCATTGGGACCCTCTTGTGTGGGAGCCCAGGCTCTGGCCTGCTGTGCAGCATATAAATCCTGCTTCCGCCCTCTCCTCTACTTCTCTCTAATCACAGGTGTGCCTTCCCTAAGGGACATCAGAAATACTCTAAGAATGATCCAGATTTGTTCACAGAAACATGAGACTGAAGCAATTTAGTGTAAAACTTTATTTTTTCCTGTTTCTGTGCTGTGTACATGATTTTCATTACAAGCAGGAGAGTCACATTGTGCACCAAGCCTGCCAAACCCCTTGGTCTCAGATCCTCTGAGCAGGTACCTGAGCTAAAAGCACCTGATCAACATTGCTCCCAACTTCATGACTCTTCTAATCATCGAGGAGGGGTGAATGGCCTCCTAGTCATGGTGTGGCGCCGAGATTGCAGCTGACTCCCAGTCCAGCAGCATCACAGACAGATATTGTCGTGTGCTTTCCAATCTTCCCATGGCTTGGCTCACAGATGCTCAACCAGCTGTGGAGCATGATCCCTTGCAGCAGCTCAGGCCAGTAGGAATTCTCTGAAGTTATCCCAAAGACTATAAGCCTAAGACTGCAATTTCTACTCGTTAGTAGTGACTGTAGGCAGTAGGACTAGAAAAAACCTTCCAGGTGGTGGAGTTCAGGCAGCCACATCATGAAGTTCTCCCCACAAACCTGCTGACACCTGCATGTGTCCTGCTACAATTGATCCTGACGGGTCTGCTGTGACCCCTCCACCTCTCTCATGGCTGTGACCTATGTCCTTTCTGATTCTTGGCTAAATATATTCCCTGACAGCTTTGTCCGGGAATTTTAATTGCTCTGCTTTCACCCTTGAGTTCAATCTTAGATGTATTTCTGCAGGCTGAAGTACACAGTTTCTTTCAGGTCCTCTCCATTGTGAGGAAGATTGTGGGATTAGTGAAAGAAGTGCTAAGTGTCTTTCCACAGCCCCACGTAGCAGAGATGGTGATGGCTTCAGTGCCACGGGGAAACTTCCTGTTCCCTGAACATCGCTGTGGTCTGCCTGTGCACCTCTTCAAGTGTGAATTCACCCTTCTCAAGCCTGAATAACTAGAATGGTGCCCATCAATCCAGCTCAGCTTTCATCAGGACTTTATATAGTGGAATTGACGCTCCTATGTCTCTCCTGGAAATGCTTTGTTCAATACTTCCTTGAAATGTATCTGATTTTCTCATTGCTGTATCACCTTGGTGGTTCATGGGCAACTGGTCAGTCTGTCCCAGCATTTCTCCTCCCATCAGGTCACGTTGAGCCTCCTCAAAAAAATTACCAATTGCTGTGTACTTTCTAGTATTTTTTTCCACCCATGTTTATTATTGCAGAGCTCAAGATCAGCCAATCCTTTCTGTGCAATCTCCTAGTCCTCTTCTCCATTGATAATGCCTTCTAGCTTACAGCATTAGGAAAATCTTTTTGTGCCAGCATGGACCACTGCTAGTTCCTCTCTGGTGCTTGGGGTTTCCTGCCAGCAGAGCTTGTTGTTGTCTTCTGACCCACCATTCATATGCAATCATTTCCAGTTTAACGAAATATTTCTTATACTTTACTAAATTCTGGATAGACCACAACTGCCAACATTCCCTTGCCTATAAATGCAATTAAATCAGTAAATAAAGATCCATGATGAAGCTGGTAACCTTCTCTTCAGTACAACCCTGGTACCTTTTATTCATTCACAGCCGTGTCTTTAATTCTTGTCTCCCCATTATCTTTTCAAACCTTGGGTATTGCTGAAGTCAGCCTAATAGCCCATCATTGGCAGATCACTTTCTTACCCCTTCCTTAGACCAGGGTGTCATAATTGCCTCCTTCCAATCATACAATACAGTTTTCAGTTGGATGCATATATTAGAAATCCGTGCACTGCTGGCCATGCCAGTCGGCATCTTTCAGCACTCCAGGGGGAAGGTGATCTGGGTCATACAAACTCAGCTCCTTAAGCTCCTCCAGTTTGTTGTGTATGTCAGGTGGGGTAATTATGTAAAATACTTTAAGACATACAAATAGTCTTGTGAAATATTTTCCCCTGCTCTCATTCTTCCTCCTGCTGTGCATCCCCGGTATTGAATTGCTCCTGCTTGCTTTCCAGTTTCAGCTTCTTTTGAGGGGAAGCAGCATCTCCTGAGCCTGCTGGTAGTGAACAGCATCGGGTATGTCCTACGCTTCCTGAAGAAGCTCTGTCGCAGCCTCTTGTGTGACAATCTCTTCAGCAACCAGCCTTTCCAGCAGTACAACACCGTGTCAGAAAGCCCAGAGGTGTATGAAAACAGACGGATGGAGGCAGGTAGGCTGTTTGGTCAGCTTGGGCTCAAGATTTAATAGGGCTGAAGAAATGACTGTCTTTTTTTGGTCCTGTACTGTAAATGCTAGAGAACTGCAAGTCCCTGTGGGACCTTTCCAGAGGGAGGCAGCGGGCTGATTCTCAGTATTTTTCCCAGTGGCTATAGAGGAGGCTTTTGGGTGAGAACCACTGTGTTGAGGAGCCCCAGTTGTGATAGGGGTAGTTTTTATATTATTTTATATCTCTCTGTTTCTTTAATCTCTTTTCCTAAGGAAACAAGGCTTTATGATCCCATTGTCCTTCTTTCTGTCAGTTCTCTCCCATAACTTTTGGCCCCCTCAGGCATACCTGGCCCTGGGGTAAAAGCCTCAAAGGGATTAACTTTCTTCAAGTTTCAGGCAGGTGGGAAGGAAGAAGGGAAATTTTTTTCTCCATCCAACTCAACCACCATACTACGTACTGAAGGTTTCCCACTGACTACCAAGCCTCCTCTGCTTGCAGACCCACTGCAGAGAGGTCTCAGGGACTGGCCACCCCAACCAGGTGTTGCCTGTCCCTGCTCCCCAGACCCCTTTGTTCATGCACTGCCTTGGCTTGTTGGCTGCAGTGAGAGGTAGGAGGCCGGGTGACCGTGTGGACCCCAGCCCACACTTTGGTGTCACCATGGCATGAATAGGAAATCACCACCATAATGAGTATGCTCTGACCCTGCACTGCCCCAGCACTTCGTTACCCGTGTGCTTCCCCGCTTGCATGCTGCTTGTTTTAAGGATCATCTGCAAAGCAGCACGGTCTGCCTTTGCTCGAGGGGACCTCTTAATGAGTGAGAGGAGAAAGCCGCTCGCAGCAATACAGTTTTGGGTCAGTGCCGTTAGCATAAATCTAAGGTAACATTATTAGCTGTAGTGCACTCAATCTGGATCCCGATCCGTCACCTCTACCATGAGTGTAAACCTACATGAGAATTGTGACTGCTAAGGGGTTGGCTTTGCTACTTGCAGGAGCATTTCTGCTACCTTAAAATGCCTGTGGGCATCAGCAAGGTCCCTGCCTTAGTGCTTGACCACATGGGCTGAAGCCTGGAGGGGCTGTGGCGTGGGGCAGATGCACTCATGGATGGTGGTGGTCCAGAGGGGCACCTGCCCCAAGCAGCACCAGACTCCCAGGGGGGTGGCACACCTTCTTGCCCACACCTCAGCATGCGGGGATGGGGTGCTGGTCCCACATAGCCCCCATGCAGCTAGGACATGCCTGCAGCCCCTGTCTGCGATCGGTGGCCAGAAAGGTGCCCTGGGGCCCTGCTATGGACATCGCAAAAGTTAGTTTAAAAAAAAAAAAAGATGCAAAGTTATGGCCCTGAACCTCCACTTCACCTGCAGACTTCCTCCTGACTTAAATTATTTTTCCTTCTCTTCTATTAACAACACCATGGGTGCTTGGGGAGCACACTGTCTCTCATGCATCCAGTTTAATGGTAGCTACATGCTGGCAGCTGAGAGAAAGGTGTTTTAATGTCCACAATTATGATCCACAAATCACTAGTTTGCCAGGAAGACCCTAAGTGTGTGCTTCACACGCCAAAGCTGGGAGCGGGCTGTGCACACCGCAGAAATTGCCTTTTTGTGCGAAGAAATCCAGCTGCCACTTTTGCACATAGGGGAGGAAAGGCAGGAACACAGATTGAAAAGCAGTATTATTTTTCCTCTGGACTAGGACATTTGCAGCAACCTGAATGTTTCTGAGAGGTCAAGGGATTTCTGTAGCACTGAGTGAGTGCAGCCCAGGAGGCCTGGCATTTGCGTTTGCATTTGCATTTTAATTTGCATATACATTTGCATTTACTTTTGCATGGCGAGGCTGTATGTTAAGGAATGCAACTCCACAACCGGAGTTTTTACAGTGGCTGTTACGCTCTGCTCACCTCCGTTCCTACATAATTTCAGTGCAGATATCCCTGACTCCATTCCCACTGGCTCTGCCCAGCCGTTGAGGAAGGGGCAGGAGACGTGGATGTAGGGAAGACTTCTCTTCCCTGGCTCTCCCACTGCTGGGGGGCAATTAATAGCCCTCCAGAGGCAGCATGGGCTGGCAGCATGTGCTAGTCAGGGCTAGTGCTGGCCTGGGGTCTCCTCCCCTCTGCCTGGGAGTGGGATGGGGGCTTTTATATCCCCACCACCAGCAGCACTGTGGGATAGTGGAGAATGCGAGCTGTGAAATAGCAGAGGGCAGTGGTTATACATGAGGTTAAAACTTCCCCACCAGGCTCCAGCTCACTTACCCCAGGGTCCGATAGCCACTGGCCTGCTAGACAGAGAGCCATAGTGTAGGTCAGCATGATCTGCAGAGATTCAGGTGCTTCCCTGTTGAAATGGGGACGTGGGACAGGTGATGGAGGAGCCACCTGGTCCCGCAGTGAGGGTGGCTGTGATGAACAGTGCCATTTCCAGAGCAGCCGAGTGCTCAGGTGGCTCTCTCAGCTGGCAGCCCCAAAAGGGGACTGTCCTTCCACCAAATATTAACAGAAATGTGGTGAGACAGGATTTGAGGACACTTTCAGCACTCTGCTGACCGCTGACCTGGTGTACCAAATTTGGTGAACCCGCATTGCTGTGCCAAGGCCTGCCCGTGGGGGAGGGTGGGGCAGAGCTCAGCAGCTTCACCAGCTAACCTGCTGTCTGCATCACTGCGGGCCCCAGGATGCAGGCTGGAGAGTCGGGGGCTGGTTTCAGAGAAGCCAAGTAGTTGTTTGGAAAACCCAGCTACAAGATTACTGCTCGGCCCCAGAGTGCACATGAAGGCACGGAAGGAGAAATTAACTCTGCCACATAAAGCCCTTGAAATTGGGAATTTTGGAGGGGAAAAGCTGCCTCTTTCCCAGGGCAACTGGTGCCCAGCTCAGGAGCTGTCTGTCCATGGCTGTGTGGCAGAGGAACTGGAGTAACAGCCTCGCATCCTTCATGCTGCACTCAGCCAGAGCCAGGCAGATATATAATATTCCTGTTCGTTGTGTTAGGCTGTATTACACAGCTCCATTGGCACCAGTGGAATAACTCCAGTTTTAGGCACTGGGGCTTGAGCTACAGAGTCTATGTTTAGAGCTGCGTTGCCTAAATCTCCTTCCATCCCCCTAGGAGCCAGCATTTCTCTGCAGCAAGGTCAGCACAGGGGGCACCTCTGCTACACAGAACAGAGATGGCGTTTCCCTGTAGTGGCAATAATAAGGAGGACAGTAGGAGCTCTTCTTGCAGATGGGTCTGCAAGGGCACCTGTTGGGATAGAGCACGCGGGGAAGAAGCAGGGCTATAATAAAGCACCGCAGGAAGCCATGCAAAGCAGCCACATTTATCATTGTTTCTGCTCTCCAGCTTGTAATCGGGATTTCTTTCTTTTAAAATCATGTGCTTTTCAGCCCCTGTGTACCAATGAATTTAATACATGTATTGACTTCGATGCAGTTATTCTTGATTTACACTGGCAGAAGTGAGAGGAGAAGCCGGTATCGTGTCCAGTCATATTAATCCACTTACACCACATAGGAGTTACCTTTTAACCTTGCCCCAAAGCACATGCCCCTAAGCCATTATTCACCAGTGCTCACAGCAAACTGCCAGATGCTAATGGCTGCGTAGAGGCCAGGTGGGATTTGTTGATATATGCATATATCACTTACAACAACGTTTTACATGTCTAAGAAGCAGGCATTCACCGGGCTGTACCCAGCACCGGCTTCTGCAGTGAGCCTTGCCGGCTCTGCACCACCCTCCCTGCACCTGAGCCCCTGGGCTCTGCCTGCCCGGCCAATGCCTCTCACGCCAGCACCCAGCGGCCCTGCTCCAGCCCTCTCCCAGTGTCAGTGGCTTCACTGCCTTGTCTTGGCACATCTGGGGATATACCCTACAGCTCTTTCTCAGCTGTGAGAGGACTTTCTGGCTCATGGGAGCAATTTGTGGGAGCAGCTGTGGGATGACTCCCAGGACTTCATTCAGGAAGTGCCCGGCTTCAGGTCTGCATTACAGCTAAACCTGAGATGTTACCTGTCCCCACAGCACCTGGGTTCAAAGCACCTCCAGACCTGCACCCCAGAATTTTCCATGGGAGTGATAGTGCAGCAGTTTGAACTAAAATGATGGCAAGATCTGGCTTAAATCTGCAGAAAATGCTGTCAAGTGTGTCAAGGGCTACATGGATTGGAAGCCAACAGGGCAGGAATCCTGTGAAGTGCCTCCATCTGCACCCTCTGCATTCAGCTTTTATTAGTCCTCCATGCTGAGCCAACAGAGGCTTGGGGGTGTGCACGGGAAAGGGACATTTCTGGAGCACCTACATACACCTATGCAATGTTAGACTGTTATTTTTCAAAGGAAAGCATATTTGCCATGAAACTTCTTGTGGGCACAGCAACTGAAGAAAAGTTTCTCTTCAAATATGGGGTGCTGGCCTATGTGGGAAACATCGACCTTCATAAACATCTTCTTCTTTCTTCTTTCAGTCAAGCCTTTCCTTGTTCTTTCTGTCCTGAACCTTAGGTTTTGGTTATTTTGTGCTGTTAGACAATTTCTGTGCTCCACGCAGAGCATGCCTGCATGTAAGCAGTAGCTGCAGCAAAACTTTCTTTATCAAAGGACTCCCGTGGCCATCCGGTATCCTTGTCCGCACCAAGGGGAAGACAGGAAAGTCTGTGAATAAGGTCCCCAGCCTTACTCCTCTCCCAAGTCAAACTTGTATGTGTAGATACCATATGGTGTCCCCTCCCACTGTCCACAGGAGAACAGCACCTCTTCTCATGGCAGCGGCTGGAGTTAGGGCCCCATATGGAGCAGAAGCACAGCAGGAGGTCAAGGTACCCTATGCTACATCAGTGCTTCTATATATAGGAAGGTGGGCTCTTGCTATCTACAAGCACATGAAAAGCTGGCATGAGAAGTGCTATAGCAATGCACTATGAGAGTGTGACTAGTAGGCAAGACAGGAGGCTGGGAGCTGGATTTTGTCAGAGACTTTCC